AAGTGCCGCAACAATACTTGCTGCAAATATTCCGACTGCAAGTAATTTCTTCTTCAGCTTTCTGGCGTTAAAAGGATTAAGTGTAGCTTCTAGTGTTTTGTTACAAATTTTTACACTCATCTCATTTTATCTTCTGGGAAAATTATTTGATAATACACCACGAAAAAAGTGGACACGGTATTTTACACTCAGTGATCTCAATTGGGGCACACTGTTTCCTGCTTTCACAAATTTCGTTGTAATTAGTCTAGTTTATTCGATCATTGCACCTCTGATTCTTATCATTTCTGGATTAGCATTCGGCTTGTTTTACATCGCCTATGCTTACCAAATATTTTACGTCTCGGGCTTTCCAAACGATACTGGGGGTCTGGCATTTCCGAAAGCAATGTATCAGTCGTTTACAGGCATTTATCTTATGGAAATTATGCTTGCGGCACTTTTCTTCCTGGCACAGAATGAATCTGGTTCGCAATCGGCTATTCCAGAAGGCATACTAATGTGTGTGTTGATCTTTATCACGATTGTTGTCCAATATTTAATGAGTTCAAGCTTCGATCCTCTCACGTACTATTTGCCTGTTGATGCAGAAGAATTCTCACGGCTGGAAATTTCTAATTCTGGAAAATTTGCATGGGCAAAGGCGGTGATCAATGTTCTAAATGTTCCTGGAAGAGCTGGTGGTACCGACGCTGTCAGAAATATGGAGAATATGGCGATTGAGTCATACGACACTACGATGGAGAATGCATATATGCATCCAGCAATACGGGATCCTAAACCAATAGTCTGGATTCCTCACGATAATTTGAGTATTGCAGCAGATGAAGTACAGCGAACTCGAGCTTCTGGCTTGGATATTTCTATGTCGACTGAAGGGGCATGGTTCGATGAAAAGAATAATATTAAGATCGACGGATCACCTCCTACTTTCATTGAAATCACAGATGTAGACACCGTTCGAAATCGGTTTTAGAGTAACGAATCGTGCAACGAACAATACGAGTTATCATGTAAATTTTTTTCCAATTTCTCATGTTTTATCATATTATGAATAGAAAATCTTTTATATCACTAAGGACATTTTTGTCAACTGAAACCGAATAATCATTTTGGAAGCTTGCACCGATGAATTGAAACTGTTTCTATTTTTTCCCTTTTGAATAAAACTCTCTGAAACTATAAGGTTTTTAGTAGGTAAGACTGTGAATAGAAAACATGAGTTTTCGAAAACAATTTCATAAAAGTGGTATGGGACTTGATTGATGAACATGAGGATTCAATTTGAATGTTTGAATATGTTACTTCTTTTCTAGCTTGATGCTCTTCTCTGTCAGGCAAACTCATAATCACAGTCAGACAGATCAGTAGAAAGATATTCGATTTTGTTTATGAGTAGCATGATATAATTTTCGTTCGCTAAAATGACAGTATTGATGGATGAAATAGTCCTATTGGTCTTTCTTATAATGTTCGTAATGTTATATTCTCGTTGACCACCTTTATGGATACAGATTACTTAAAAATGTTTCACTTTTTCGTCAAAAATAAATGGAACATTGTATTATTCAATTAAATTTCTTTTCAATAAATAACAGAACTCGTACATATTTTCATTGGTGTCCATTGGAGTGTATGTACTGTCGGCGAGACAATCATTATCATTTGCTAGAAGTGTTTCTTATGTGATTGGTCCTTTCTGATTCGATAAGATTTCTCAATCAGGAATATGTTGAGACTCGTGAAAAAACTGTTCCATAATCGCTGACATCGACGGTCGCGTGTATTGAATCGTGAGAATACTATGAGAGCGATGTTCAAGTCTAAAATTTTGTTAGGAAATGCTTCATTGAGTCAAGAACATTGAACTTTATTCCAAGAATGATACCTTTCAAGCACTTGTGAGAAAATATAAGGACCACCAGTGATTTTGTAGCAGTTGTTTTTTTAGTTCTTCCTGTTTTCATGTAATTCATTAGGTACTCGCGCGTCCAACGTTCGAATCTCAGAAACAGGAATGTAGTGTGCGAACTCTCAAGATCCTTAGTGTTTGATTAATAAAATAAAAGTTCTATAACTAAAATTCCATAGATTATTTCTGTAGAAATGGTCTATCTTTGTTTGCCTTTGTCAAGAGCTTATCTTCTTGTTTCTCAATATAAATTACTTTAATATCCACTTTTAGCCAAGTATTAATCATTCATCAGTCAATCCGATATGTGGTCGGATAACTGAGTGCTACAGTAGTTCCATCGTTTATTTAAGTATGGATACATAATCTGAAAACAGATGCATCGGAGCGAACATTCGAAATATGCAACAATTACGAAAGTTATCAATACTTTTTTATATCGTTCATATCCCCAACACTTAAGGATAAAACCAGATTGCAGGTACTGCAATCTCTTTGAAGTCGACTGAATTCCACGATTGGCTTATTTCATTGCTCAATGCACTGTTATCTCTAACTTTTAGTTAGATTTATAAATGAAAATTTCAACCTAACAATGATATCATTGCTTTACTAACATGAATAATTTTCCGAATCATTTTTAAATTCGCTGTTTATTCAAAAACGCAAAAGACCAGTGCTTTTGTGTTAGACAACAACTAAAAAGTCATAATTGGTTTGCAAATAAATTGTGAAATGACAAGTACTCGGCTCTTGTTTAATGCACACTGTAGTTTTGATTAGATGCAAATATTATCACGACGATAAGAACAGTGTAGAAGATAGAAGGAAACAGCACAGAGAATGTTCCTTTTTTTTTCATTTTTTTATGCTTCTGATGAAATGTGAGAAGACAGATCTTGGTGATATGCACTTTGATAGGAATGTCTGTTACTTGTGCGTTATCAGATATATCACTTTTATGAGAATAATGACAGATTATGATAAAATAAAATACGTTGTAAACGATTCGAATAACAGTTCAAGTCATTTTTCTATCAGTCAGAATGGAAAATACTTTAAATAACTAAGTTGAAATGTTGACTGACAAAGTAATCTTGATGATAAAAATATCGCAAAAAAGGATGAATTCATGGTTTCATCGGATTGAAAATGTTATTTAATTTGATTTACCAGAAAAGCATGTAAAGAAAAGTGATATATTTCCATGTTATGTGTAGCATCAGTAATGAAGACATCCAATAACTCATAATGATACTCGTTAGATCTCAAGTGGACGCAAGCGAGAAACGTAGCAGCGAAAATTTTGTACTTCACTGTGATTCAAGATTTTGAGTATCAATGAAGTGTGATGAAGTATTTGAACTAGCTAAACAGTTCTAGAGGATAACTTTGACATACTGTCAGAGTACGCTATACTAAAGTAGAGTATGGAAGTTCCGATTTTTCTCTTGTAATGCAACTAGTAGTGAGGCTTAGCTTTCCCATTGAAACCAAATCGAACTTGATAACTTCTTCAATAAATTGAAATTAAACAATGTATAAAAAATATTGTAGGCTTTTTAGGAATTGTAAAAATATGATTTCTGTGTTAAAAAAGTGACTCAGTTTTCATCAAGAAAACCAATTGAAATTGATCTATTGTTTTAATTGTCAAGCGATAATCAGTACAAACGAAACGCGAACATTTTATTACGGGCGACCTCATTGCAAAAGAAAAACTTTATCGTTACGTCACTAGACATTTCCTTCCAACTCTTTTGTCACACTATTGTCTCTTAAAATCAGCGTGTAATCAAATGTTTCCAGCCGTTGTAAAATTAACCATGAATTCTTTTTCTCTCACTTTCTGTTCATCAGCTCTTCTGTTAACTTCGTCGATATTTTTACCTGTTCTATACTCATGATATTTGTGGGTCTTCACATGAGTAGGGTGTGAGTATGGGTGTGGATAGCGAGCGTGGTGTAGGATCTTGATGTGGTTGTGGATAATACACTCCTCCAGACTCACACTCACATTCACACCCCACATCCATAACTTTATCGAATAAAACCAAAGTTTGATACCAAGCTAACTCAATATCGAAAGGCTATTTGAGAACTGCCATTCGTAAACCATTCTCCTTGAATATTAAATAACATGAAATGTCTCTAGCACGGCTGTTAAATAACAAAAGTGAAAAAGTGAAAAAAGAATGTGATATAAATTATACGATCCGAACTGATATGAATATCCCATCATTAGCAAGTCATAAGATACTTCCACATTTTGTCTAAGTTATATCAAATTGCAATTAAAATATTGTATCCAACAAACATAAATTTATAGAAAGCAGAATAAAGAGTACATATACTGCTAAAACCGACATGTTTTCTTTTCTAATATTGAAACACGTGGGTTTTGCATCTTTATTCGTTTCGCATTCTGTCAGATAAAAAAAAACGAGAGTTCGGATCTCGTGCATCTTGTAGAGAAAACGATTCTTTACAAAACTCTATATTTGTCTATGCTCATGAATTCAATTTCTACAAACATTTTTTTTAGTACAAGAATGTGTACTATAATTCAGTTAGTGCATTATATACATGCAAGGATAATATTGTCAAAATGTTTACGAAAAAACAACATTTTATAGTCAAAATGCAGTCAAGACCAGGAGTTATCAGAATACATATAATAGTTAGTACTAGATGCGTTCAATTTGAAAAATTCCTGTCTATTATAATAATGGAATTAAAAAAACGCATTTTGGTGGTTTTAATAGTTCAATATGGTCTACAACCCTGAAGTTTTCATGGGATTTGGAAATACTTGATGTAAGCGTGGTTGAGATCCCATGGATACACCCTTGTACGACTCTAATAGGAATTATCATAGCGAACAATTTGATTCGTCTATTGCAAAGGGACACACATGATTTTGTGGTGGATGAAAAGCGAGTATAGAATAATAAATAAAATAAAATTTACAAGTACGATAAACTTTTGACACATTTGTATTCCAAATAGTAGTGCACGGTCATTATTGTCCTCCATTTTCGTACTAATTTCTCGCAGTTTAAATGTACAGAATACTTTGTAGTATTAATCATCGAAATATGTTAGGCTTTGGAATAGGCATTTGCATGATCTTACGTTTGAAGTCTCGAAATGTTGTATCTTTTATCGTTGCTCCGTTTGATAGTTTCCGCCAGCCTTCACTTGGACTGAATATACTAATGTTTTTGGGTATATTCCAATCTTTGATACCAGTTCGACCAATGACTTTCTGAAGAAAGTATTGTTTCCAACAACGATCACTATAATGGACACCATAGGCAACATGTGATGACAATATGATGGACTTGTAAGATTTCAACAGTTGAGCATGGTGTATTCGATGCAACGGTACGGCTTGTGAGGCAATAACAGCTGATGATGGACTTTTATCCCAAGCATTCGAAAATGGTTTTCGATGAATATAAGTTTCTGTAACTGAAGCATTCGGACATTCGACAAGATTTTCATGAGACATTCTAAGTAGCTTAAAAGTAATCTGAGCAATATTTGACCTTGCTTGGTTTTGTATGACTTTTTGAACTGAATTTGACGATCGTGGATATATAAAAACGTCAAGATCAGAGAATAGAGTCCAAACACACCGATCTCTTGTGAATAACACAGCATGCGTATATGCTTGATGCTGAGATCGTCTCCATGGCCATGAAATAATTTCAAGATCAGTTCTATTTGCAAACAATGTTCTGAGACCATCTGTTGAATTGTTGTCATAAATTATCAGGTGATCAAAACCGACGCGGCGATGATATTCAAGCCATTCATTCACCAAATACGCCATATTTCTAATAGTTGTAACGAAGCATAGGAAATACCGCGGCTTTTTAATTATTTGGTGATGCTGTGGAATGTACCGGGCAACTGAATCAACAATTTTTTTCCCGTTTATTATAGTTAGTTTGTCTCCAAACCGCAGTCCTTCAGGAAGAGAGCAAAGGAACGCTATATAATCATTGAAAATAAACGATTTTTTCGCCTCTTTCATCCAAGTTCTCCGATGACCAAGTAAACAGAACATATGTTTAGTAGGACCCACAATTCCTTGACCAAAAAGCCACATGAATCCAGGCGGTCCAGGTGCACTAGTATAAATCAGTTCAATCGTATCATTCCACAGAAAATTTAGTGAAGCATCATGAACTATTGGCATCTTTTCTGGCAATTCATTATCATCTAGATATTGAACCGTGGGAGAATGGGGATTCATCAAAAAACATATAAGCCCACCAATTATTCCAATCCATAATCCACAAAATATAAATTTTCTTTTGCAAATAGTTTTCATTTTTCTATATGAGAACTTTCGAGTGCTATCAGTGTATTTTGTTTTAATAATTCAGATAGGTTAGGATAGCAAGAATACATTATCATCCGTCATAGTTATCAAACTACAAGGGTCGTATAACATCGATCATCATGAGTAATTGTTACAGTCATCTGTATTGAAGCTGAAAAATACAGAAGAAAATCTACAATAAAGGATGTGTATTAAGTTCTGATCCTCTTGAAGTATTGCAGTATATATATCAGACATCTACATCTATTATGCATCAGAATTTTAGTTTTCTGTCTCTTATAGTCAGAGTTATTCGTGCTGTTTGTAAAAACGAATTAAAAAAATTCTATTAATTTTACATTACTTGCATCTCATTGCCTTTAAGAGGTAGAGCGCTAAAGTTGTAGTGAAGAATAGATTTAGATCTCGAGTATATATGCTACAAATATCAGTCTATTCAACTGCAAAACATAAGAAAAGATTATTTTTTGAAGCTGCTGTTACTCACATAAAAATTTGACAGTTTCAATACAATTGAATTTTTTTTGCTATTTCACTTGCAGAGTGTTTCGAAAAATCAACTTCAAGGCAATGTAAGCTTACACGCACGTGGAGCACTTCAAGCTGCCATTTGCAAAGCTATACATTGGATAAATATTACTTTGCATAAACTGATGCAGTGAACGAACAGAAAAAGAAACACTACTTCTCTTTTGTTTCATGTTCTGCAACAAACATTGAGTGAGTGTGGGGTCGCTGGGTACAGATGAAATGTAATCATATCTATTATGACACTTCCTGCGTGTATAGATATATTATCGTTTCTTTCTGGCTCCTTGTTATCATCGATTATCTTTCGCTTGTTTTATCTTGTCTTCTTTTTTTCTTCTCCCATGACTATTTATGATTAAATAGTTTGTTACGTATCTAGAGATGCGCAGTTTGAGTTTACTAATTACCGACGTCACCGACGCTGATGCTCAATAAACTCCGATGACATCAGTGTCACTGCTCACAGGAGCACTGACACGGTCAATGACACTGATACCATAATTCACACGAATTTGCTGACATTAGGTCTTCAGTGAAACACTGACTAATTGACTATGTCAAAGTATTCATCTTTTACACTTTGATTGCCAATTATCAATGGAAAAATGAAATGAGCAGATCCATCTATCCCGAAAGTATCGTGAATTTGGGCAATCTAAAATTTTAGATTATGAAAACGGCTTCAGATAAATTTATTATGCTACTGTCTGTCTTAATAAATAAGTGCCGTTTTATATCTAGATCTCTCTCATTCATAAACTCCATTTAACTCCCTCTTGGCGCTTAAAACACGTTCAATTGTTAAAAGTCTCAAAAATAGTCCTCTTCTGTGAAAAAATTGTTAGCGCAATTCCTGCAGGATTAATATGTGAAACACGATGTACCTATTGTTACTAATTCTCGAAAACTCATCTTTTCTTCTCTATGTTGGTGCTTATTTCTTCATCATCGCTCATTTTACAGTATAGAACTTCAACAAGACAATTCTCCGCATGTACTCCAATAAGACGTTAGTTTTACATGATTTCCCATAGTACCTTGAAGCCTGTCTGTTATGATCTGTGATGACTAATTAATTAATTAGGCTGTAATTAGCTAACTAGTTAATTAATTAAAAAAATCTGTCATGGTCTATGGGGGACTGAGTCCAAATATATACCCTATATATTTCAACATTTCTTTTAGATTGTGTTTCACAATAGACTTCTATCATGGAGGAGGGGAAGAACGAAGTTAAATGAAGTTTATAAATGAGAGAGATCTAGATATAAGACGGCACTTATTTATTAAGACGGACAATAGCATGATATATTTATTTGAAGGCGTTTTCATTATCTAAAATTTTAGATTGCCCAAATTCACGATACTTTCGGGATAGATAGATCTGCTCATTCCATTTTTCCATTGATCATTGGCAATCAACGTGTAAAAGATGAATACTTTGACATAGTCAATTAGTCAGTGTTTCACTAAAGAACTGATGTCAGTAAATTTGTGTGAGTGATGGTATCATTGTCACTGATCGTGTCAGTCTTTCAATGTTTACACCAACACAGCACATCACTAGAAGATGTGCGGGATTCGCGACACTAAAAACTTTCTCCTGAAAGATTCTGCTCTAAACTTAGACATTCGAATTCTAATGGATATCATTCTTCGTTGATTGATTCTATTCATGACAAGAAAGACAAGCACTTACGATTTTTGAAAAAACATTCAATACAATCGTTTCTCTACCGATCAGTTTAGTGTTGATGTTGTTCTGTGTATTTTATTCTTGCATTTATATTGACTCATGAATATTGATCAAGTTTGATCGTCGATTCATAGTATCAGAAAGAATAAAATCGCCGTAGAGAATGGTTGAAAAGAAAAAAATCCTTCCCATGAAGGATACTTGTTCTGTAATATAAGAATCAACGTCTTTCACAAAATGACGCTAAGTGATCCGTAATCGATTTCTTTCATATACTTCACATCGCACGATGCCACTAAATTCTGATACAGAGTGCCTTGTACTAAATGAGAATAAAGTATTAAAGATACTTTTCATATTTTTCTTAACGTAGAGAACTGAGTTTTCTTTGTAATTTACATATATATCTAATCAAGATGTTTTATTTCTACAAGTATCAATTCTATAGCTATAATTAGTGGTGAAAAACATATACAAGACTAAAATATTTAAAGTTTTGCACTCGATCTTTGTACTATTTTCAATATGTAGACAATCCCGATACTGTTGTACGAAACTTTATGTATTGCAATCTTGTTGATGTATTACATCACTATTTAAAGGCTCAGAGCTAACACTTTCATAAATTAAAGATCTTGATTAGGCATAGATATGTAATAAAAATTTTAGTTCTCTACTTCAAGAAAAGTGTGAAAAATACTAAAAATTTATCCTCACTTACTATGGGATACTCTTTATGTGTTTTCAATTGATTTTTTTCAGTGCTTTAATTATTGCTTGACATAGTCGACAAACACTATCGACATCCAAATCTCTAATTTCTAACGCTTTATGCTTGTCTATTTGCTATCACTGTTAAATACTTTTTTTTATTGTGAGTGGATATGGCTGTCCACTGGAGTCTATGGAAAAGCGAATTATAAAGAGAGTAATTGTGTTGTCTTAGTAATCTTAGAGATGAAAGTAGACCTTCTGTTCTATTATTTAGATGTGATGGGTTTCAACAAAACAGTTTAGTTTCGGTATCGTTTTTTTCAATTCAATTCTAAAAAAGAAGAGAAGCTTGGGATATCTTTGCGTCATATCCGAGGAGAAATACCATACTTGTAAAGATCATTCGTGCAAATTGAACTAGTAGGGTTTGAATTCTCTGTTGGACTGGTGAATAATTCTACGATGAACATGTTGCTTTCGATTCATAGTGAATCAACTTTCAATAGTGCAAAAAACATTCTATACTTCTAAACATAATTCTTTCAAACAAAAAAGCATTGACATACCTCCGAAATAGTAAAACTGATTATTAAATATTCTTTATCACTAGAGAGTGCTGGAAGACGAAACACTAGAGCTGTTCTTTATTGATAACATTTGTGAATTATCAGCTGCTTTTTTTAAGATAAATACTAGATATTCATGTTGGTATGATACACGCAAGCTAAATGTTGCTCACTGGAACAAACTAAGTACTAAAACTGCTGTGAAATTCTTGATATATGGTGCTCTGCCCTTTGTGACCTGTGTATTCTTCATGTTACTTGCTATACGTTTTGCTGAGCCAGGTAGTCGAAGCAGTTACCAGTCTCCATCCCTTCGATTTTGAGCATCATTGTGTTCGACGCTTGACTACTTCATATAAGTTTGCTTACTTTAATCTGTTTCTCAAACAAGATAGTATTGCGGAAAACTATTGTATCCGTTTCTTTTAAGAATGTTTCCCGTAGTTTGGGACATTGTCCTAATGAATGCATTTTCATCAAACGTTTTTCACTTTTTTGAGCAGTTATATATTTTCGATATAATTTCAAAAATTGTATAGAGATGATGGTCGAGTGATAAATGTTCTACCTAGAATACTAATGTTCAACGGAGATGATCATTGCAGACATCCGTATAAAATAAATACGAGTATGTCGTGAGACATAGGTTCGAACAAATTCTACAGCGCAATTTGCGGTCGAAACGCAAATCAATCACTGTGAAGGAATACAAGACTATTAAAAGATTCATGCTCGTTTCTGACAAAAAGACGCATACAGTACATCCGATCCTGGAGATAGAAACTACATTCTCCATCTGATTCAACATTCTGATAGCATCACTTATTTTTTTCGATAGTCTCTTGCAATTAGTAGGTTTTGTGAACCGTGTTCTGATCTACAATGAAACAAATTATCAGATGTTCATCTTTTATTTCAAGCAATTAATCTACTAACTAACGTAAGCCACAAGAAAATGAAGAAAACCGTCAATATAATTAAGAACTCTACGAAATGAATACAGAGCATAAAATACGTTGAAGGTAACGGGAAATTTTACCTAAAACATAAAATATTATCAAATTTTTGTACGAGAGTTATCATTGTTTCTTAATAGACAATCAACATTAAATGAACAGTTTTGTTTATATAACTACTTGTCTATCCAGAATGGTTGAATTGCAATAAACGAAATTTAAAAATCAATTGATGGTCAATGAACACTATGAGAAAGCGATAGTTGATATTATGAGCACTCATGGTAGTAACTCGACCCACGTTAGAAGTATTCGACAGTTTTCTGATTGAAGAAACTCGTAGATGATTCATTTCTTTTGCGTTCTTTTTCTCTTACATAGTTTCTTTTACTCATGATACATCTATTCTGATAACAACATCAGAATAGTCGAATTGTAAAAAAAACTATCTAAATCAATAGTTCTGTACCAAGTATCAATATAATTTATTATCAGATTGCTTCGTCTATCAAGATGCTAACAGCGGAGTGGAATCCAAAGCAGGAAATATTCATGTAGTTTCTCAAAACGTTGCAATGCATGTCTTTTAAATGGTTGTTAAAATATACTTGACATTCTACTGTAAACTTCATGATCTACTTCCTTTTTTTTATAACGAAACTGGCAATACTTCTAGATTGTTTATACAGGACGCTAGAAAAAAAATGTTGACCGTGACGAATGTTTGATAATATTGCACTGTCATGTCTTTTTGCAGTCATGAAGAAAAAACGAAAAGTGATGTTTTTTTGCTTACTCTCACAATATACCGCTGGTGTCATCATGACGCTGCAAAAAAAGAGAGAAATATAAAAATATCTGAATTTCTCCACTATGATAAGGCATGCATTTTATGTGACAAACAGTAGTGTGCGAAAGAAGTTAGTCTAGAATGTGTATATCACTGCAAAATATCGACGTGCTGCTTCATTGGAAAATATCTGCCATTTGACGTATGAATTTCTGTTTTGCAAAATGAACATTGTGATGCTGCATGTTTATTGGTACAAAAGAGTAAATATGAAGTTCTTGTTCATGAATTCTACTGGACGAGTAGTATATTTTTATATTTGCCACTGTACTCCAATATAGTATCTATGAGCTACATTTTTAAATAGAGTAGTTTAGTACGTATGAAAAAAATATTAGATGTTTTTGCAAAACAAGAATAAATGAAAGTTGTAATTGCTGTTTTCAATGCATTTTTTTATATTATTTTACTTTGGCTTCAAAATTGTACGCTGTTCTTTCAGTGTGGATCGTGTTTCTTGTTGTTTTTATCTGCTAGATAGATAGCCTATTTCAATAAAATAAGTATTTTGTTTCTTAGAAAACAGGAAATGCTAATTAAGGAAAGACATGAGGCAAATATTTTTTTTTGGTTTTTAGATTTACTTTTGAAAAAATGTCATCCTCAGTACTTATCTTTGGTGCCAGTGGTTATATTGGCCTTGGTGTAGCTCTGGCCATGCGCCGTGCTGGCTATCAAGTCTATGGAATGATTCGCAATGAGAAACATTGTGCTACGTTGATTCAACACGAGATTGAACCTATTGTAGCCTCATCATTTGACGATGTTCAACCAGTTGCTAATATTCTTGCCTCATGTTCAATTATTATTGATGCTGTCGGATTCAACCCAAAACTGTCACCTATACTTTTGGAAGCTGCTCTTCACGCTGGACATGACCGAACTGAAAATGGAAAACTAGTACATTATGCTCCACTTTTCATCTTTACATCAGGCATTATGACTTGTAAGATTATAATGCTTTCCAATATATGTGCGAGCTTTCACTGGATAGGCAGTCATCATAGAGTTAAGAAACAATAATCTGAAGGATATATGTTTGAGTAAGATTAAATCTGCCCTTTTTTTATCGGAAAAATTAACTAGGTCTATAGAGTCGTTTTGAATATGGCTATTAATGTATAACTTGTCTCCCAATAACCTGATTATTCTTCACTTTGAGTACAGTATTGAGTTAGTTAAATTATGCTTCGTCTAGATGGTGACACATCTCAAACGGGTCGTCGTCCGGTCGATGAAACAATCAAGCCCCGACCTCAATCGGTAACGAATCACACCAGTGTCTCTTCAGCCGATGTGGAGAATATGAAGGAACGAGAAGACTACGAAAATCAAGTCTTGGCAAGTTCTTGTGCCTCACTCAAGACTACAGTCATACGACCTGGCTTCGTCTACGGTGGCCAAGGTGGTTTTATAGCCGATCTATTCTATTCGGAGCCTCTAGTTATTCAAGGAAGAAGAGATATGCGTTGGAGCTGGGTCCACATCGATGATCTGGCTGAAGGCTATGTAGCTGTAATACGAGCTCCACGTAGTGTTGTCGATGGACAGCGTAAGACATCTGTTAGAAAGAATAAAATAAGACCAAATCTTGAGTTTCGTTTCTAGTTTACAATATTGCCGCTCCGAATGACAATCCGACCTACGAAGAATTACGAACAGCAATGGCTAAAGCTCAGGGACGAAAAGAGAAAATTGAGTACAAAGAAGCCGATGGGAATGTGCCATCACGATGGGATACGGATTCGTAAGTTTTTCTCAATTGTATGACTAAATATTATTTATTTTCGTTGACATAGAATCATCAATCCAGCCAAAGCTATGAACGAGTTAGGCTGGCGACCAAGACATGTGGGCTTTGTTGAAGAAATTGATACGTATTACAAGGCTTGGGCAGCTCACAAAGCTGCTCACAATGCAGCCAAATAGTTTTTTTTTGCAATTTTTTCGTCCAACAGTATGACTTGAAAAAGAAAGACATTCTTATTATTCGAGATATTCAGTGACATATTTTTCACCCATTTATCTTTGTTGATAATAACAATCGAATACATCTTTCCAAATACACAACTCTCTGACTGGTTTGAACAGAATACAAGAGTTAAATATGCGGAGAGGGAAGGTATCTATGTTGTTTGTGAGTGTATCCAGATCGACTATAAATGGTTAAAGCTACGTATGAATACTTTGTTTCGGGCATTTAAAGTGTTTCAATGCAGATAAATATGTTTATCGATGAAATTCTAACTATAGATGTCTTTTCAGTTGTGTTTTCCAAAAGTCTGACCGAAATCGTTTGAACTGTGCTAATTGCGGATTCATTTTTCGGAAAAAAACTTGTTCAAACGAATTTGTTTTGTTTTACTTCGATTATCAAAAGATAATTTGTAATTGTTGACTTAATTATTCTGCAGTATCTATATATGATTGAATATATCTAAATCACGTCACTATAATTGATGAGTAATCGTTCTTTCTATTTTCTATTAAATATTAATTGTGACTATTTACTGTTTATTAGTAATAGGTGACTAATGATTAGAGTGAGCATAAGTTACTAATGAGAAGTAGACAGTTACCTAAAGCACTTATTGTTAGTTTATATGAATTTAAAACTGAAAAACAGCATTGTATATATTATAATCGAAATTAAAGTAACGAGATGTGTAATAGCTTAGATGATAGTAGTTCTCTTTGTGTCGGTACGGAATGTATGTTGGTGTTCATCTTCTGTTACCGGTACTCAAAGCTACCTTCATATTGGAAGAAATAAACATCAATTTAAGGAATAGAACATGATAGACTCACCACCCTAAATTTTTTTCTCTAAAAATCTTGTTTGATAGTGAAGATATAGTTTTTTCAAGCGTAAGTCTTATAGGCATCGCAGCCGCATATATCTCAATATTAAGAAAACAGACATGGTATATTTTATTCGAATAGTACTTTTCAGGATCATATCTGTATTAAAATGAATGAAACAATCATGGTTAGTGAACATTCAAGCTTAAGTTACTTCAATAAAAGTCAAAGCTGATTAAGAAAGAACTAACTGTGCAGCAAGAAAATATTTTCGCCAGATATGTATTTTTAATTCAACTTCTTTCTCCTTCTGTCTCATCGTTTTATTCTAGCGTACGTTCTCACTACATATATAAAACTATTATTTTATAGGCATCTATTTTTGAAAAATGTTACCCCTTCAATTAGATATTTTCGAATGCTGAAAAATACAGTTTATTGTTCAAAAAGAGAACATGATAAAGCTCAGATACCAAGAAACTAAAATATATCAACATCAGGGTTGTCGATTGTTTTTAGGGGTGGGGACTAAAATTTTGGCAGATAATGTTCTCATTTCTCTGACGTGAAGGCTGTTGACCGAGGAGGAGGGAGAGGGGGAAAGAAATGCCACCAGTTTTCACTAGGTCGTACCGTACCTTCCCCTCGGGCTTCCATATAATCGGTCATTTCTCCCAGAAACCGTAAAAAATTGGCAGACAGTATTAAAAATTTTCCCAGACAAACAATTTGGGGGGATAGCCACCATATCTTCCCCCCCCCCCCCCCCTCTCCTAATTGGAAAGCCTGATCAACATCCTTAGATGATCAATGATAAAAGCTAATACAGTAGATAATATACTCTTGTAAATTGTATCTAATCATTATAAATTCAATTTTCAAAACCTATTTTATTATTCATATTAAAATATTTATTATCTAATTTAACTAAATCATGAAATGAAAATAGCACGTTTATTTAATAAAATTAAACAAAATAACATGAATATGTATAATGATGATAATATTGACATAGAGAACATTTGATTCAGTCTGTTTAATAAATAATCGAGACTGAAATGGTAATAAATCTAATGTTAAATTACTAACATCATCAATCAGAACTTGTTCATTTGTTATATAATCTATTCATGTTCCATTTTGAAGAAAATTTCCTATAATATATTTCGTTTTAGCTATTTTATCCGAATGAGTAATAACAACTAAATTTATTCCACTAGAATAAGCTTAAATTTTATTTTGATTATTTTCATGAAAAAAATTCATTGGATCTTCTCGAAGAGATTTATTTGAATGACGAAGTTTTATTAAATGTTTCAATGTATTTAAAAGATGAACATTAAAATCTTTTTCAAGTATATCCCATAGCATTGAAAAACATGTTCTATAACCAAAAAAAAAAAAGAACAACGAAGAAATTAAATAGAAATATAATTGTATATTTACTTTTCCACTTGATTATCGCCTAATTCTCTGTCTTCACCAAGTTCATCTCCTTGCCGAATCATTGGAATTCCAATCGATGTAAATAAAAGAATAATAGCTATTGTCATTCTAATAAAAGCATCCGAATCTTTTTTACCAATATCATGTAGTAAACTTTCATTGTCATGACAAGCTAAATAATTCACAAAACATTTTATTGAAAATGTATATTTAACATTGCCTAAATTTCCATATTTGTCAATTTGATCTTTTTTGAAAGCAAGAAAATATCTTAGACTTTCATGAAATGATGATGACTAACAAGCATCAATTGGACCATCATATTCTTTACACAAATCTTTTCTTTCAGGAACATATTCAGCTTGACAAAAAAAAATGGTTTGGATGGGCAAAGTGAACGACCAACTAAATCTAAATGACGAAGAATATCATACTTATCCATTTGCTTAGCTAAAACAAATAATGTAAACAAATTTTATTCTTAAGCAAAAAAAGACTTTTTCCTTTCTTCCAAATTTTTCAATAATCAATGTTTTCATTAAAAAAATTCTTTCGAAAAAAAAAACAACGATATCTGCCATGTATATGTTGTAAGTAAAATTAGAATTCGTTTATAGCTAAATTTATACAATCACGTACTTTACTAAAAGTAGAGTGTAATAAATAAAAAAACAAAGTACAAAAATCTTAGTCGATCAGCGTTATAATTATAGATGTATGCATAATAATCTAATAAAAAATAGTCTAAATCATATTCAACAACTGATTGCATTGATGAGTGCAAAAGCAAGTATGATACAAAAATAGTGTTCATGACAAGAAGCTAAACCAAGTTCGAACCAGTAAAACAAGCAGTTTGATTCGGCCTCTCATTCGTGTAAAAAGGTTGGAGTTTTTTGTTTGCAAAAAATATCATTTAAAACGAAGTAATTGTACAACTATGGATGAATAGACTAAAATTTTTTGTCCTTTAAATTCTTTAATGAAATAACAAGATATTGTTGAATTAAAAAAAAACAAATTGTTCGTCTATCAAAATTTTTATTTGTACAATTGACACGAATAATTAAAATTAGATCTAAATATTTTTTGAGTGATATTTTTTTTATTACATTCTATGTCTAGATTACATAGAAAAACTTTTATAACATTTTACTGTATATAAGCTCTTTTTGTAGGAATTCTTTAAAGTTTTCTTAATGTTCAATAAAAAAACAGGAACAAACCTGCATCAAATCTAACACCATCTAAATGAAATTCTTCAATCCAATATTTCATAACATCAGTAACAAACTTTACAGCAAGTTTTATATTTTAAAAGTTTTTATCTTCAAATTCATAATTAAATTCAGGTCCCCATCAAAATGTATCTTTAAAAATATTATTCGTTAAAAAAATAAATAAATAATTAAAATTATTTTATTTTTATAAATCATAATACAAACTAATTAAACAAAGAACATTACCCAATAATTTCTATCAATAACAGCAAGCTGAATGATTAAATACACAATCAAGAAAAACACGAATTTTTCTTTGATGACATTTATCAACAAGTAATTTTAAATCATTAATAGAATCGTATGTTGATTTAAGACAAAAGAAATGGCGTGGTAAATAACCCCAATCATGTTCTTTTTCTTGTGATCCTATTTTAATAAAATAAAATATTTATTATATTCTTATCAAGAAGAAACTGCGTAGAATAATATTACTATACACTTTAATAAATGCATTGTTATAATCAATTTTTTTTGTTTTAGAATAATTTTGTTTATATTTAATAAAAGAATATTTGTTTTTTTTTTTTTATATTTTTCCGAGGTAATAAATAAGACAATAATAATCGATAAATTCGTCTTCTTATATGAAAATTTTATCTGAAAATTTGACTAATTCTTTACTTAATATTTTGAACTTTAGCGTATTAATTTGTTAAAAAAAATAGTTTATCTTACCCATAATTGGTATTAATTCGATAGCATTAATACCTAAATCTGATAAATAATCTAATTTATCAATAACATCTGAAAATTGTCCACTAGGAGAAAAATCAGCAACATATAATTCATAAAAAACTAATTCGTTATTCTCTGGTAATTGAATATGATAATATTGCCATTTAAATTCTTCGTCATATATTTTTTTTCCATCAGTAATCGTTATAAAACCAACTTGTTCGTGAGAATCATATTTACTAGCATAAGGATCAATAATATCAATCGATGTTGATAATATCCATCCTTTTTTATTAATTTGAAATCTGAATTGCACTCTATTCAAGAGAAAAGAAGAAAAAAAGTTAGACGAATTTTATATGAAAATGATAAAAAAGAAACACCTGACATTCATATTTAAAAATAATTTTTCTACCGTCATTATTAATAGATGCATTAATTAGATAGTTCCTTTTGAAAATTTTATCTAACGAATAATTATTTAGTAATATTTCTTTTTTTTTAAAAGATAAATTATCAAATATTTGATTTAAAAAAAAAAATTAATAAATATTAAAAAGATTTTTTTCTTTTCAAACATTTTTGAAAAAATCGCAGTATTAACATAAAATTTTCTGAAGTTCTCTAGTTTGTATTATATTGAAATAGAAAAAAATGATCTTGATTATTTACACATATACTAAAACTTTTTTTATTCAAAAATTTATCTTAAAAACATCTTCAAGCATGACAGTAAGAAGATATCCTCCTTCAGAAAATCTATTTTTAGAAAAAAAAAAAAACGAAGTTGAGTTTTTATCATAGAATGATGGAGTGAAGCTTCCACTCTCAGAAGATGTATGACTTTTCAAAATAAAAAATTAAAATTTTAACAAACTTTTTTTTGGGGGGAGGGGAGTTGCACTCTACTAACCTGTTTTCCGAGAGATTTTTATGGTTTCTTTTTTATTTTTGGGGATATGGCCTTTTTGTCTGCATCGGCATTGAATGAGCATTCTAATATATTTTAAGCATGACAGATGATGCTAGCTGATGTCATTCATTATGTATTTTACAAAACTCAATTCAATTATATTATGAAAATGACATATTTATATTGTATACTGGATTTGAATGAAAAAAATTCATGTCTAAAGTTCTTTACCGTTTTTTTTTTCTCACAAGATGATTTTCAATTAGAAGTATCGAAATAACATTTCCCAAGTCGCAAATATAATCAATATTTTCTGTTGTGCAAAAAAGCTACTTGAGAGTCAACTTTTGTTCAACCACATGTCTTGTAGTTGATTTCTATATTGAGAAAAGCTACATTTGTTTACATCAAGTGATATTTGTTTCGCTTTTTTTAACAGTGCTTGTATTAAAATTCTGCTAGAACAAAAACTGCGCATAGGTATTGGTTTTTATTGAAATATATCCCAAAATCTATACCTCTTGTACAGACGAAGTTACAAAGATTCTCCGCAAGGCCATGAATGGACTATAAAGAAGCCTGAAGGGGTCCCTGACACGGATATCAATGAATATAGAAAAGTACTAATTGGTCTTATCTTCAAGTTCAAAGTTATACCAATTGGTTTTTTTGATGCTTAATTTAATATCCAAAAAGGAGAATATATCTGCTGATATTCAAGTGAGCTACTATGTTCATATGAATCTTTAAATATTTCTATGAGAAAGTTTTCAATCTTATTTCTATTAAATTTGAAAATACTAAAATAAAAATATTCTCATTATATAACAAGAAAATATAATATGCAAAGTGTTTCACGGTAACCCATAATCAACTTATTATTCAATATAGAAAAAATTTTGGAAAAATTTATTGACTAATGTTGCTATGCAATAAAGACTCAATGAACTTGGAGAATCTTCTATTAAATAATTTATGATGATTTTAGATATTCCCAAAGAATTTATTGAGTTTTATTTTATGTTTGGCTTGTACAGCATAAAAATGATAATAAGCCATAATAAACTTAAAGATGTCTTTTTAGAATAATATGACATTGGATTTTTGCATTTACTTTCTGTTTGTATGAAGAAATAATAGGAGATTTATTATCTGAGTACTTTTGAAAAAAAACTTGACATTTGTGATCAGCACATTTGACATTATGGAACTATACAAGACTTCTAATAGAGCGGCGTTAAAAAAAATTTTGATTTCTCTGAGGAACCGCAAGTGAAAAAGATTGAGTTTTGATAAAATACAGAATAAACTCGTGAAAATTAATCTAAGCCCATGCTAATTCGCAAAATAATAAAACTAAACATAGATATTTTTGGATGTTTGGCACGGTAGGGTGTGAGTGTGAGTCTTCAACACAGCACGGCTTTCTCCTACAACCATCCACACCCTTGTCAGAGATATTCAAGAGTAAAATCTGCGAAAGACAGAAAAATCACAAGAAAAGTCTCATCGTTCTCTTGAAGAATCACCATATGAAACTCTCCATATACACAGTAATGTATTTTTAATAGCCGAAAATAACATATGTTGTAGCTAGTAACCTACTGTTTAAAACGAGCTTGCTGTTACTTGAAAACGAGTTTTGTTAGCGTTATATGGAAATATCAAATCGGAAACTAGGTTTTTGGAGTCTGTCCTCTATGTGAAGTACGTTCTCTGACATGCATTTCAAAAAGAGGAGCAAAACAATTGTTAGGAACCAAAACATGCTATGATGTGCAGTTCAACTAACATGAGGGTGTGTAGAGTGGGATGTGGGTCTTCAACCCAACGATACTTTCCTCTACACCCCACATACACATACACCCACACCCACACACCCAAACCTACGCCTAGTTAAATTTCATTTGATGTCTGACGTTGTTTTTATGTGTGACATTTGGAAAAGCGATCTAACGATCGTCTCAAAAATGATAATGAATAATAAGAAGAATTTTCTGTTAATCACACATCAGCATCTATTACAACATCTATCAAGATCATTCTTTTTGATTTTATGAGTGAAGTTACTTTCTCAGAACAAGTAGATCAATACACATTAAAAGTCTGACATGGCACAATAATTCTGTATTCTTCTCTCTTCGGTATGATGAAGATGAAAAAGATTTTGACAAGATCAAAATACAATCTATTTTTCAATAATGCTTGTCTTTCGATCTCTCTTCGAAAAAGAACAATTTCAACAGCAATGAACGAATCAGATGATCATTTTACCATTGACTTCATCAATTATTGTCAATGAGGCATAATGCACATGGCAGCCAGTCGATTTCAAAAACAACGACATTTTCATCGATGTTCAATTGAATTTAAATTTCACTTGCATATATCATTAGATCGCAGAATTCATTCTGACAAATTCTCACCAGAACGACACTTCCAAATCTCGCTCGAATATAGTCAATGTAAATGAAGATATCATCATTTTCTGAGTGGTTATCCTTCCTTGGTGTTTGATCCGAAACATATAACTTTGAGTTATGCTAAATGACATTTCTCAGCTTTGTTTCTAAGGAGGCGCACTAACAGTGTTCCATTTGACCAGAATCAATATCAATTTCCTGAAACATGATTGTTAATCAGTGTTGAAGTATATAACTAGAAAAGTGAATTGTAAGCTCCATCCTTGTGTCTTTCCGATTCCTACTGCATAGATCGTCACAGATAATTTGACATGGCGCAACTTTAACCCTATCGCAGATCGTGATCAATATAACGAAGGTCTTCATGTGCAATTAGAGCGACTGCATTGTGTTTTACACTTTAGTCTCATAAGGATTGTTCCCGTAGCTTTTATTGAAACAGAATATTTTTTCTTAAATATAACAACTAATAAAATATACATAATTAGAAAATTAGCAAATTCAGAATCTATTATATATTAACTCTTTAGTTTTGAAAGCAGGTCTTGTCTCTTAATAATGACCATAATATTGATTTACCATAGGCAAAGTCTCCTGCAAAGAACTCTTGAATTTGTGTTTGCATCTCTGACCAAAACCCATCATTTTCCATCAGTGTATAGCACCATCCCAATAATTTATCACTATTTAATGACTTCATAATGCCAAAAAGTAAAGTACCAATACCACTTTTTGGTTTCTCTATATCAAGTCGTCGGTTAATATACTCAACACTATTTACCATTGCTGTCAGTGCAATATTACCATAATATTGAATACCATTTTCCTCATAAGTCTTTTGATTGTAATTCTACAAGATATACCTTTTTAAATCCAATTATAAAATTTGAAAAACTCACTCTAGTTCATCACGTCAAAGAGTTTTTAATTTTGACAATTTTTATTCAAATCTCGTAAGACATCTATAGATACGATGCTCCGAAATGGCACAAAGTTCGATATCAGACATTTCTCATGAAAGTAATAGATTTGGACTCAGATTTGCCATGTTTTCCATCTGAACGATTAGTACTGAAGCGATAAGAACGAATAAAATACGAAATAATACGTTATATTAACTCAAGACCATCTATGAAACAGAGAGTACATATTAAGCAAAAGATCTTTCGGATGTTTAGCAGCAGAAGTTCAATATAAAGACTATGACAAATGGTAAAGAAATTTTCGCTTGCAAGTGTAATACAATTGTAGCTCCGTTGATCTAGAATAATTTCTCAATGGACCGATGAACGAACGACCCAGGCGAGTCTTACTTAGTTGAAAACTATTAGTTAATCATTCTAGTTTAGAATTGTCTTCATGGATTCTACGTCTGCACACCGTTATACTATCCGTATAAACATTCCTGATCCAAGATTTTTGCGCAAGAATAGTCACTCTCTTGAATTATGAATCCAACGAAAATAGTCATACCCGGATTAGGTGATCATATTAGGTGCACATCACGAGTCTTTGTTAGGGTCATTCTAGGACTGAGACAGATTCATAACGTCGAAGTCCTTCCGAGCTCTAATTCCTACACTTTCTTATTCAATCATTCTCACTATAAATGGAAAAGATGTTGCATACATGTTCAAATAGATATTAGCGAAATAATGCCTTATCACGTTTCCAGCTATTAGAGCCATTGTTTTTTTTTTCTGAATATGTTACAATTAATAATCTTATGCACTCTCTCAGTTCTTTGAATACTATAACTGACCTTTAATAAATCATGAAAGTCTTGCATGACTGCTTTTCGTTTGTCGTCACCACCATTCCATTGATTCGTACAAACAAGTGCAATGAAGATATTGAAATTAACACATTCACTAATTAATCCACGAATAAATTCATCGTTAGCAAACGAACCTGGAGATGCACATAATATAACACACATTGGATTTTTTTGTCTAACAATATCAATGATGGATGAATCCCATTTTTGTATTCCTTTTGTATCCCAAATTTTAATTCGAAATCGTTGAGCATCGACACATCTCTCACTTGTTTGTCTATCAGTGATTTCCCGAAAAGTATCTTTGAGCTCATAACATTCTGATTCTTGTGTTATAAGAGCTAGACCTGGGCCGGTTCGAGCCAATTGTTTGCCAGTGATGGCATTGATTAATGTACTTTTACCTGTTCGTGGAGCACCACAAACAATAAAAGTGAATTCTTGAAGTTTATTTTCGACATAGTTAGCTATGAATGCAGGATTATTATTTGTACATTCTATGTGTGATGTACGCAAATTATTAGCACCAATCGTGACAGCAGAAGCCACTGCAATAGTTTGACGTCTAACCCTTTTTTCCACATTGTCTTCGCTGGCCATCGGTTCCTTTTTATGTAAATTATCTAAAATGACTAAACATCTTGTTTGAGGTGAAGACACAAATAAGCATGGCTTTTCTTGAGTACCTTTCTAAATAGGGCTTCATGAAAATATGGACATGGAAACAAAAATAGCTGAAACATTGTTCGTGCACGTTTTGATAAAAGGGTGGGATGTGAGTGGTTTCTTGTTCTTCAGAGAATACATTATACTACTATTATGTGATTCAGGAATCAACAAGCGTGATGTTTACATAAGAAAAACATTTGAAAAACTACAAAAAGAGTAGCATTCCGCCAGATATTGATAATTTTGTTGTCGGGAACCAAAGAAATAACTCTGCAAAATTTGAAGTGGAGCATAACCTATCTCAAGACTAAACTCTCTGGAAATAGCAAGGAATGGCGATCGAATCGCATCGAACTACATGATGATGCCACAAGACTTTGACGAATAACTTATCTTAGATTCATATTTGGGTAGATGTATGTAGCAATGTTTGCAACATTCCTCTATAATGTAACTGAGTCTTTCTGCTCAAGGTCTTCAACCAGAATGATGTTAAATAGAGATTTGCCAATGAAAATAAATCACAGATTTGCATTATAAAATCAAATATCTCGTTGGAAAGTCGACTTTTGAGATGGGAAGATAAAGAACACGTTGATACACTGAAATTTTCTTTCTCATAGTTCCACTTGATATGAAACTATGCTTACTTACAATTAAAGAGAACGTTTCGCGAAAGTTCATCTGGTTAACTCAATGTTAAAAGAAATTTTTTCTCATTAAATACACCAGAAAATTTCTTATTAGAAAAAAAAGTTCACAGGTTTTATCTTATTCCTATAAAAAGTTATTCGAAAAGTTAGGCACTATTTAGTAGTGCTACGGCACACAATATTTCTGGGATCGAGGATGTCCTACGAGCTTCTTAACATCTATACATGAAAGAAAGCCATCATATGGTTATATGATACAGACATGACAATGACATGAGTATATATCAGAAGTTCTCCTTCGCTATTGAAACTTCAAAGCTCTGTAGATATCAAATATACTTGGGACGTTTTTTTATGCCGAAGAAAATCGTCTAAAGATTTTGAATCTGAATTAAAACCGTCGCCATCTCCAATACTCTGGCATCAGATTCGTTTCATATTCACCTTTAATTAATAAATCCTATCTGATGTCATATATATTAATCGATTGACTTTTGTTTTCTCCATAGGGGTCTGGGATTCGTCGTACATCGAATCTGAGACCCATCGTGTAAAGAAAACAGGATATTGATCGAAATATCAGGGAATATATAAAAGAGTTGGTATCTAGGAAGAATTCGATGCCAATCAGGGCTCTCAACACTCCCAAATGAATGAGAAAAAAAAATGCATGAATCATTTACTTGTTTTATTTCCAATATGCAGTGCCCCACATCACGCTGTCAGTAGTATTTACATGGTGAAGTTGTGCAGCCTGAATTGCTTGGAGAGTGAAGCAATAACAGTATGACATCATAATTTCCAACTTCTTTCTTTTTTTTGTAACCATGAAATGAATGATGAAAAAGAATGTTCTCGATGTTTTTTTTGAATGAAGAACGAAAAGCAAATCAATCTTTTCGTAATTCTCTTATAAGCGAAGGTGTACAAGTCAAATAAATAGTTGTTTCAAATTTCATCTTCTCTATTCCGTTAGACGGTAAAAAAAACGTTACATTTTTACACAAAACAAGTCTTTTTTTCTTGGAGAACGCGGATAGTGTATGATAGTGATCCATCACAGCGTTCATAAGGCAAATTTAAGAGTTGATTTTCGAAGTCGACGCAAAATAAAATGAAGAAGAATCGTGTCATTCAGCTATGAAATGTGCATATTTTAGACGAGAATACATCTTACTTTTTCTTTTCAGTCAAATCCAGACGTCGTATAACTTTTTTTTCATGAATGAACACAATCTTTTTCAACTAGACAATGAAACTGTTTATTCTTACGGTATGATGTATCAATTAGGATAGGATATAAGAGCGAAATGATGTGCACTAGGGCTTTCAGTATTTTTCTATCTAACTTCTATTCTCCACACTCTGTCCAGCAGATCTGACAGATGTGTGAACATGTCTGAGAACATTTTCGATGGTCTAAGTTTTTATTTTCTGATAGATCGGCAGATGTCACTAGAATTTGCTATAAGGGTTTAAGTAGTTCTATCGTGTACATGTGTAGTTAGTTTGCTTGTAACTTTGAATACGATAGAAAAGCGAGTTTGAAAATTAGAACCTATGAAAGATAAATAATCTCTTCTATTTTCTGAAATATTAGCACATGGAATCCACAATCTGTTCTATTCAAGTTCATGTTCGCCGAACAGGTGAAATGGTTAATATCAATGTGATTCCATCAACGACTACGTATGATGAGATTATTAGAAAAGTTTGCGAAAGAATCAATGAACTAGAACCGAGTCATTATTATTTAGCATTAAACTATGAAGTTGAATTAAAGAATGATGAGGTATTTCAGTCACGACAGCAAGATGGACGGTATCAGCTAATTATGCGAACAAGATGGTTGATGGAATATTTGGCTGAAAAGGAAAAACTAAGAAATTTACTGATTCAAGCAAAGATGACAATGAACGGTAAGGTGAACTTAACTAAAAAGAATATTTGTGTGAAACACGATTCGAAATGAGTGTTAAAGTATAAAACGGGAAAATTGGACCTCATCTTCCACCATACATCGTGACAGACAGAATTGATAAAGCTTCTGTGCGTCATCATGATCTATATAGTTAGGATTCTGCTTAACAATTGCAACAAATCCATCGTGTCTCCCATTGGAGCCCTAGAGGACTTGTGCTAAAAGCTTTTCTACGAAAAATCTTGTTCCAAAGCCATTGTTCTTTGCTCATACATTTTCTGTTTCATTGAATTACCCGGATCTACATGTTTTCGAGACTATTCTGAACTAAAAAGAGTATTTCTATACAACAAATATTAATTAATCAACATGTGAGGATTTCATATACGCAGGCACTATTTGTCGTTTATTAAAATAAGTGAACGAAAGTGCCATTTAAAAAAAAGAAATTTGCTCGACTTTTTCGATCTCCTATAATTGATTTTCGTTTTGTGTCACGCTCATAGTATCCCTATATATATAAGTTTTTTTGAGTCCAAAGCCTTCTGCTTAATAGTGAGATTTTATCGACTAACAAGTTGTGCCATAGTGAACTCTTGCAATAATTCTATTTCAAACCCACATTGAGCTACAGCTCTATAAATTTCATTACAAATTTCTGTACTCATAAGAAATTATTACTAAACTTTTCGAGGGAATCAGTAGAGATCAGCTCTAGTGATCGACATTAGAGAGAAAATTAGAGCACGCTACTTTCTGAAAGTTTTTGATACGAAAATCAGATCTTCGTTATTTTTCAAAGGTAACCGAAATACTGTTACCTAGCTTATCTGAGCTCTATTGGTGATTAAAATGTGAAGACTATCTATTGAAGTTGAGATAGGATTCAACTACTAGCGGGATGCTTTAGCGACGACTATATATTCTTCGGTAATAGAAAGAATCAATAGGTCATAGCCTATTTTTATTATTATATGTATCTGATTCTTCGCTGGAGTGCAAAGAGAATTATTTGTTTATTTTGTCTTATTCACTAATATTGTCTCTGATTCAAGACTTATAATAGAATGAAATATTTTATTGATAGATTTGCCAACTTTCTTATCACATCCGATCAAAGATTCAAAACAGGAGACAAGCGAGACGAGCATTGTCAATAAGCGACCAAATCATATTGTTCTAAATTCCAATCCAACAGCATCATCATTTAGTAATGAAAATAATCAGGGTGTTCCTCGTGATATTGTTCATGCCACCATTCAGCGTATACCGCGACAAGATGTACAAAATTATCTGCATCAAGCTGTAGGAAAAACGTTTGATATCATGCTAATGGGTTCACCTAGAGTTGGAAAAAGTACACTAATCAATGCCATTCTACAGAAAGATGTGGCTGAAACACATGCTGGACGTAATGCGTGGACGAAAAAATTTAGTTATTATGAGTATGAAGAATCTTATATTACAGAAACTGAAAACAACACAATAAGAACATCAACAAGTTCAATTCGAATTTGGGATTCACCAGGTATTGAGGATTGGACAAGATTAGACGTGAAAACATATGTACAAGATTTAATTAACAAAAAAAATCCAGTTTGTATCATTTTTTGTGCATCACCAGGTACCTATGTTGAACTTGAACAACTCAAAGGTATTGTTGAAGCATGCCAAAATTTGAAAGTATTCATTGCAATGGTTGTAACAAACATGTATGCATCAGATGAAGCAGATAACATTTTGCAAATATTTCAAGATACTCTGATTCATCATCATGTACAAACAAGCGTCGAAAAGAATATTTTCTATTATGGTCATGTTGGTCTTTGTACACAAGTCAATTCGATTGATTACGTAGTAGGCAATATTAGAAAAAAGTCGGAAGGTGTCGACGAGTTAATCTTAGGCATTATGAATTCATTAACTGATGAAAAACTGTTACAATGGTGTTTCGCAATACAAAACAATGCTCCGTTCTGGGCTAGAGCACAAAGACAAATTTGGGAATTATATTCTTCTTTCAAACGTTTACTTGGTCATTAATATTTCTCGATACATGCTCAAAAATATGTATATTTTCAACATTTGTATACTGACAGAAATTTCAACTTTTATGTACGGAATAAAAAAGTAAAAGCTTCGTTACTATAGTCTCTTTTCCCAAAGATAACACAGTTTTCCGCAAACTTTATTCGCATCTGTAGTGAAGATGAAGTTTCAAAACGATTCACTTCTATCTAAAATTCATTCTCGAATATTCGATAGGATATCTTTTTTTTTTTAAGTTGTCTTCTTTCGATCTATCTTCATCTTTGTTCAAGTTCTTGATCATTTGCTATTCCTGTAGCTCAGTGTAG